TGAAATGTGTCTGACTCCATTTATTTCTATATATCTCTTTTATCTCTCATGCTCTCTATAACTTTACTATAATATTTACTTATTATTGCTGTACAATTGCGCCTACAGAACCCGTAGTGATTGTGCTAGGAGCTGGCTTCTTCTGGCATTGTCCTGAGTTTTTCTATATACTTGGACTATCACACAGGTTCTTGACTCAAAGCTAAGTGAAAGTGGTTTATTTTCAAATATCAAGAGGGTGGAGGAAGCTAGAAATTATACTAGCCACTAGAAAATAAATTCACTGCTTGTAAAATCCACAATGCATTTACAGCTATGACTGTGCTTGTCTTATGTAAGGAAATGATAGAAAGATTTGCAAATCCCTATGACTGAAGGTGGTAGTATCTTTTAGAGGGAAATGGAAGCGGAGTCACATCTATGGGAGGTAATGTTTCTTTAGGGGCAGCACAAAATCAAAACAGCCAAGCTAAAGTAATTTACTAGGCATATTTCATGATAGAGTTTCACAGTCAATGCCTCTCTGATTGTGCACATGACCTATGGAAGTGATAGGTATACACATAATAGCAACAGTCTGAGAGGTCTGGGTGAGGAAAATTACCAATGTCATCTTCGTTATTAGATACACATCCTCCCAACACACACTTGGTTAATGGAAGAAAAAAATTTGCATGGGGAATTAATCATATCATTATCCTTTCAAATCATAGTTATCAGTGTTGGGAGAGTGACATATGGCCCTGGCTCAGCCAATTTAACTCAAGCTGATATCTGGGCATAACTCAGTAAGGATGAGACTCCCTCCTACCAATGATTGGTAAACTGGAGCACACCACAACACTACTAATCTAGGGATAATCTGGAGTAGATTACAGCACAGTCATCAGGAACAGAATTTCTAAGAATGGATCCCAGGAAAAATGAGCAGAATGGAATAAGGAAAATCCAAGGACAGAGTCTGGTGCACCGTTGAACCTATCTGCTGCCTCACCAAAGGTGGGCTGATTTAGACACACATACACTCTTGTATACTTGATCAAGTCAGCTTTAGTTGGATTTCTGTTGTTTATTACTAAAGACTCTTAACTAAACAACTAAAGTTAACACAAAACAAAGCCCACTATGGATGTATAAAAATCAAACCAAGGACTGTTTCATTAAAATACCCTTAATAGCCAGGCACCATCAGCTTTCTTCGCCACATTTGCTTATGCACCCATTTGTCTTCAGTGATCCGTTCGACACCTCGTGATCACACAGGCTG